GGGGGGGGGGGGGGGGGGGGGGGGGGGGGGGGGGGGGGGGGGGGGGGGGGGGGGGGGGGGGGGGGGGGGGGGGGGGGGGGGGGGGGGGGGGGACGTGGAGGCTCGTCTCGAAGTCTCGAACCTGTCCACAGCTGGCTGTCCATCTCTTACTGTGCTGCTGCCTGGTATGGGCCGACACACGGTGCTCGTTGTGCTCCTGGCGCTCTTCACAGGGGCGGATGGATTCGTGCCGTCCTTTCTTGCACGACCCACTGCCACAGCGGCAACGACGGCAGCACCGCAAAGGTATAGCTGTAGGGCAGCAGTCGAATTTGGAGGTACAAGGCAGCAGCAGCACAGCAGCAGCACACAGCAGTGGGACTGACACACCATTGATCAATTGGCCTTTCGTAGCAGCGGCGATTGCGCGGGTGGCAAATCAGTAGGTGCTTGGAAGTCTTGTGTGTGCTGGCTGTATTTGAAAAGCCGGTGCCCGTCGGCCGTGCTTCTGTTTCCTTGAACCGCTACTGCTGTACATGCAGACCATGTGTGGGCAAACGTGACAGCGTAACTGCTGCCGCACTTCGTCAGCAATGTTCAAATGACACAGCCAATCTCTACGTCTTACCGCCGTGCGCCAGCAGGGTATTTATGCGCCGTGCTGTCCACTTCCTTACCTTGGTGTTGTCTGTTCATGCAGAGAGATGCATCATGGCCACCAAACGTACCTGCACTTCCACTAATCTCTGCTCTGCGTAGGATGACTCAATAAAGCGTACAGCAGTTCATTGATTACATGATGACCGCCGCAGTGGCGAAATTTGAATTTTGGATAGTACCACCACGCAGGGCATCAAGGTTCGCTCAGAGTACCTGTGTCGCTGCTTGTTCCCTCACATTACATCTCACCTTTCTTTGCCGTCGTTTCCCGGTGCCGAACAACCGAAAAGCCCCATGTGGTCCACACTACGCTTCTCACCGTTTGCCACACAAGATACCACCCGCCTACTGCTTACAGTACAAGTGGTCGGTAGTTGCAACAGGTCTTCTCGGCCGAATGATTCTATACGTTGATCAGTGCGAGTGACCATTGTGACCGACTGCTGTCCTTTGGCGAAAACTTTCATCATATATGCCTGCCTTTCAAATGAGGTGGTCTTCGGCATTCCTCTTGCTCTTGCTGCTGTGAAGTTATCGAGCGTTGAAAGCTAGTTATTAGTCCAATGCAACTGCTGTGGTTTGCCAACTGTCGTCGGCAGTTTTGCTATTAGTACACACTAGACTATAATACGTGCTGCTTGTGTCAAACGCAGCAGGCCCCAAATACCTGTCCTGTGATGTGCCGCGCTTCTCCCAACACAAACACAGATCCTTGCAGATGGTGTCTGCGGGTATGTCAACCATGGACGTTCTCCAGGATGGAATCAAGGCTGTCGCTGTCGGCGTGAGCGGAAGCAAGCCCATACCGGAGGATCTGGTTTCGCCGCTTATTCAGGTTCGATAGGGGTTCCCGATAAGGCTGTCTGAATACTTGGCGGTTGGTTTGCCCGCTCTATGGCAGCTGAAAATCCTCGGCACAGACGGAGTACAGTGTGTATCGAGTTGTTTTTTGCAGCCCTTGTTTGGGTTAGGCCGCTGCTGTCCGGATTTACAGCAGTGTGTGAATCGATTTGTTTTTAGCAGCCCTTGTTTGGGTTAAGCCGCTGCTGTACCGGATGTCCAAGTGACAAGGTAGAATGTCTGATGCCGACGCATCGAGAAAGACGACGTTGTGTACTTGGCTGAGTGGTCGTGCAACCGAGCGGACATGTTTCCGTGAAATCGCTTGGTGGAATTTCACGGCAATGCTATGTATGTTGTGGATGAGGGCCTACTTGTTGTCAACAGGTGCATGAATGCGCAATGCTGTACCTCAGCAACATTACTGTCCGTTTTAGCGTCTTTCCGTCGCCCAGCCGACCCCGCAAGGACGAAGGACCTCTTCTTGATCAATCAGACCCCCCCCCCATGCAGCCGTCAGGGCAGAATTGGGGATCCAATCCCTACGGTCGGGAAGAGACGCGAGGAAGCTGACCTGGCAGTATCGCATGTGCGGGATGGGAGAGGAGAGGTTGCCGAGAATTGTATGGGAGGCGAAGTGGGCAAACAAAAAGAGGGGTAGACAACCCACGGAATGGGTCAAGGTTGT